TGGATAATTGCACTCATTTCCCTTTGCATTGTGTGTTTTAGTTAGAACGAAGGACAACTATAATAATTCCATTTTGCATTTCTCCTTAAGTATTTAGCAGCCCTATTTCAGTATAAGTGACAATGACAAAAATTTTAAAATACGTGTATATGGCCCTTGATTTAAATGCGATAGCTTATTTTTCGGGGGGGGGGGAAGTGGTAATGGGTATCACAATAAGATGTATATATCTCATTCCCATTATGCCACAGTCTAACTTAAATCATAAACAAGCATTTATATCATTGTATGATATCATTATTGTGCAAGGCGCTCCATCCACTCATTCAACAGGCGTTTATTGAGAGTGTAGTACCATGAAACACTGTATGTTAAGAGACACTCATCAGACAGACACTGCTCACTCTTTATGAATTTATAAAGGATGACATTTAGGAAATAAAGGGGTGGGAGTGAGTAGAGGGAAGTCTATGACGACCCCCAGGACCAACCTGAGCTGCTGCAGAGATGCTACCCTGTTCATCCAGAGGGTGAGGGAAGGAAGGCTGGTTCAGGACTGGTTGGGTTTTGGACATTTTTCAGCCTATTTTCTTTTCCATGTTGAGGGTGTTTTGTTTTGTTTCCAGCGATGTTCTCATTGCTCACTGGATCCTGGCAGTGTCAAAAGCCTAGTCTGATTGTCTTGTTTTTATCAGGCCAATTAGAGAAGGTAAAATATGTATTTAAGAGATTTTGGCCTTCCTAACAGCCCCTAACCATCTCTGGGGATTCTGTCACTGACTCTTAGATTAATTATACTTTAATCTTTTGTCTTTTCAGCACAATTATGAGAGTTTGTGTTAGTCCATGTCCAGGCCTGGGAATGTCCACCCTCCCTGCACACCACTTTTCTTCAAGAAAAGAGAAAGTTCATTTCTATTATGACTTAGTAGAGTACAGTAGTAGGCCCAAACCTAACAAATCATGTCATTAAAATATATTGGAAGAAACAGGATTCATTATTGAAGAGACAGAAAAGAAGTTAATAAAAGTGAACCTGAGTGGAACTGCCCAGGCCTGCATCCCCCATCCCCAGGGACAGCCCAGGCTCAACCCCTAGAGATAAATCTTCCTGTAAAAACATCCTTAAAAAAAGAGGATAAAATCCCAACCAAAAATATTTTTGACACCTTCACAGATCGCCAAAGCCAGCCCCCACTATGAATTCCAACCTTATTATAATACAATTAAAGTAAAATAAACATTAAGTCTTAGCTTACCCCCCAACTCCGTGGGTTTTTCTGTATGCATTATGGGTAAAAGCATGCGCAGAAAGAAACTAGTTATATAACCTGCACATGTCAATCATACCTCAGTCTATACTCAGGGGGACGTCACATCTGCTGTAAGAAAATTTACCTAACCTTTCCTATATAAAAAAAGCTAAACTAAAGTTAGGTGCAGTTGTCTGCCCTGGCAACCTCTCTGCCTGCACTTTTCTTTTTGAATGAACTTTCTCACTTCTATTCCTTTTGAGTCTATAAATTCTTTCACATTCTGCAAACAACCAGGGGTTAATTCTACACCAGAACAATCTTGATTTCAAAATCTGCAAAAAAAAAAAAAAAAAAGAAAAAGGAATGTGCAAAAATTAAAAGGTGTTCTATCATTGAATGAAGACGTAGAGAGCTGTCTGTCTTCATGAATGCCACTGATGTCCCTTTATAGCTTGGCTTTACTCACAGATTTTCTGAAACACCTGTCAAAAGTATTCAACTAATTTTACTTTTTATCCCTACTTCTCTTGTACTTTCAGAGAGACCTGTACGGTTAGATGAGTTTTCTTCTGTAGCTATTACTCTAAGAAGCATAATGAAATGCATGCTACAAGAAAATTTCGCTCTTCCGCTGTCTCCCATATTATAAATAGTATGTCACTGATGTATAGTTACAGGGTCTGTAGCTCTCATCTTTGCTTTCTCATCTCAGATCTGACTTCTCACCATCTTCCTTTGCCCATGAGCCTGATCTTCTCTTGCCCTTGAGCCTGGCACCTTGCTGGGGCTGGCAGGCGCCAGGCAGCATCGGCTGGGAGCCAGACAGAGCCTTACAAGAAAGGCTCAGAGAAGCAGATTGACATGAGCTCAGTAATTAGCACCATGCTGGACACAATGCCCAATAAGGATCTGATGAATTAACAGATGTGTGGGCTGCCTAACTGTTGCAAACACTTCAAGTTGATGATGGTGGGGCTAATTGGCTGAGCACTATAAATAAGCATGGAGAACTGACCAGCTTTTTGGTCTTCCAAAGTCAATAAAACTTATTTAAAGCCTTCTTTTAGAGATATAAAAGTTTTTTATTCCCTTTTAGCATCTGTGTCAGTCATTTTAGCAATGTGAGAAAAAGAAACATTCTCAAACGTTTTGTGTATTGTTTTGAATAATAAAAGATACTTTGACAGAGAATAGCAGAGAAACTTTCATGTGAAATGTTAGGATAACACCTAAGTGTATTATATAAAGTACTTCAGTAGCATAATCTTAGCTATTTTCAATACAATAGTTTTTGACATAGAGCTGGTCTAAATTCAGCAACGCTAAGACTAAATAATTTCAGGACCATAATAGCCTGAAAATTCCTAGATTTAGTTTACCTTATTGAGTTCTTGAGTCTTTTCCACGTTGAATCATCTTATTAATACAAAATAAATTCCAATTAGCATTATTTTATAATTTGTCATACAATGTGCTCCTTAGACTTCTTTTGATTCCACAAAGCTAAGAAAGAAAAAGGAATTCCCTCAAGCCACATTCAGTCATATCTCTACAGGTGTGGATTAATCTCGCCTACAAATACACCCATTAAACTCCAGGTTTTCCGATGAATGGACAGCCCCATAGGCTGGCTCAGCAGCACTGGGCAGCGTCCATCCTAGGACACATTCACATTTCCATTTCATCCCGAAACTTTTACTACCTCCATCACTGCTCCTCAAGAGGCAGGAGCCATTCTGCAGTTTTTGTTCTGAGAGACAATGTTTGTTTTTTGTTTTTTTTTCAATTGCTTAAAAAAAAATAAGACTGCTTAGTATGATCATGTTTGAACTACAGTGATGATATCCAATAGCTTGATGTAGGACCATGATTTTATTTATTCTAAAAAATCTAGAAACGGAAAGATATATCTAAACAGGAAAAAAAAATCGTATTACCATTGTATTTGCATCTCCCCACACCCTTGGAAGTCACACTGTGAGAAGTGAGAGTAGGCTGTAGTTTATAAAATGTAAAGGAAGAGAAAGAAAAAGAGGTTAGATGCCAGAACTCAGGAGATTTTGTTTGGTTAAATATGAATTGTCCACAAAAAAGCAAAATAAACTATTTACGGCCCTCTCCAGATAAAACAGTATATAAAAAAGAGCAGTCCTAGGTTCAAATACAAATACCACTTAAGTTGTTATTAATAATTCACATAATACAGATGCTTCCAGGCTCTGAAAAACAGTGCTTTGCCCTGACTAATCCAACTAACCATATCGAAACAGATCCAATAGACTTTGAGAACCTTATTTTCCAGTTCACACATTTGTGGGGTCTTAAGTTAAATTTACAAGTTTGATCCTAATACATTCCCATCTGCATATGTCAAAATGTAATGTTTTCTATTAAGTTTTGAGCCTCAAATGGGCTTGCTTTACTTTCCTGCCATGTGCTCGGCACTACCTAAAATTATTCATGGGCTTCCATCTGGCCACGCAAGTTATGAAAGATCACAGGTCTGGAAGCCACCACAAGTTTGCTCCATTCAGCAACAAGTTTGCTCTAGAACATTTTTGTCCAAACATAGTCGAAGGCCACATTGATCTCGTAAGGGATGAATGCTTCTATTAATGAGCTCTCCGTGACTTTCCTGAGTACTTTTTCCTCTGAACTAGATGGGATTTTCAGAGTCATGCATGACCTTATTTGGGACTTTAGAGACTAGGGTATGTAACTGCCCCCAAGGATTTTGGATTTCCTCATGACTTCTGATGCTGGAAGGTGGAACAATTTTTACCACCTTACTCTGAGAGAACTCTCTCATAGGCACATTGAGCTGAAGGGTTATCCATTACAGAAAGACATCATTCGCCTTTGCTTTACAGGCTGGCTTGTCTCTAACATACTACCCAAACCTTGGGATTCGTGGTTCACGTTAGCGCCCTGCTTTTCTGTACATAGAACTACATACATCCAGGTCAGCACACACTCCCTTACACAGATAGATGTTCTTACAGTGTTTTATGTGGAAAAAAGATTAATGGGAGATTAAGTGAGAAAAGAAAATTATTTCCGGAAATTCAATTGATCTTCACCTTCTATAAAACTATAAACTGTTTTGTATAACTTCCCGCTGCTGTCTATAATCCTTCACCATCACCTTCCACATATAGACAAGTAATAAAAATGGGGGCTGAACAGAAATAAGATGATTCAGATTGAACTAAGCCGTTTCAGTTTCTATTCGATGTTGTTATTTTACTATTTATAAACTTTGCTTCCATGACTAAAACCATCATATTTATGAAGGAATAGCTTTAACCCTGAGTCACATTAGAACCAGACAAAGAGGCATTTGTTATTCATTGGGATACCTATGGGACAACCCACCTCTGTAATCATGCCTGCCCTTTCTCCCTTCCTTTTTAAATTAACATTTGGACAAGAACAGTTACATAGATAACAGAGAGGAAAAGAAAGACCCAGAAAGTGATGTGAGGTCTGTCAATCTTCACCATTGCCAAGGAGGACACATTAAAGCTTTCTCATGGAAAATCGGCCTCCGTCAACACATATTCAAAGCAAAGTGACCTTAACAGAAGTGTGCACATGTGTGTTTCTAAGTGAGAATAACACAGACTGAAATCATCTTGAGAGAATATAAGTGAATAAAAAAAAAAAAAAAAGGCAGGGAAGCATCTTAAGGGGAAAAGTGACATCCAGGAAGACCTGACAAACCAACGCACTTCTTGCACTTACCTTTTCTGCTGACTGGGCTGTACCAAAAAAGATGGGGATGAAGGCTAACCAAATGATGCAGGTGGTGTACATGGTAAATCCAATTGGTTTGGCTTCATTGAACGTCTCTGGAACGCCTCTTGTTTTAATGGCATAAACAGTACAAGTGACCATCAAGAGGATACTGTATCCCAGGGAACAAATGAGCGAGAGGTCCGAAATGTCACACTTGAGCACTCCCCTGGCCTTCTCTGGGTCTAGAGTCCGCTGCTCCCCATAGTCAATGATGATGTGTGGGGGGTCCACCACGAACCAGACACACACTCCCAGGAGCTGGACGGAGATGAGGCTGAAGGTGATCACCAGCTGGGACGCTGGGCTAATAAACTTGGGTGCCGTGACGGATTTCTTGCCCTGCTCAAATATCCGGTGGATTCGGTTTGTTTTGGTAAGAAGGGCTGCATAGCTGAAACACATGCCGAGTCCTAGGAAGATCCGTCGGAAGGAGCATATGATTGTATCGGGCGCCGCAATCATTAAAAAGGTGATGGAGTAACAGAGGAAAATGCCCGTGAGCAGCACGTAGCTGAGCTCTCGTCCTGAAGCCCTCACAATAGGTGTGTCGTTATAGCGGACAAAGGTCACGATCACAAAGGTGGTGGCCATGATTCCCAAGATCGCCACGAACACGGGCACCACGGCCCAGGGAGAATGCCACTCGAGTTTGATGATGGGGATGCGCTGGCAGCCGGTGCGGTTGATGTTGGGTCTCTGATCCAAAGGGCAAAGTTCACAGGAGAGCTCATCCACCTGGTAGTTGTAACCTTCGCAGCGCTCGCAGTGCCAGCAGCAGGGGACCCCCTTCACCGTTTTCTTCCTCTCCCCGGGCTTACACGGCAGACTGCAGATGGACGCGGGCTGAGCGTGTGCTTTACTAGCCCACTGCATGTCTTCCACCTGTGGGTATAAAAAATGAATGAGCTTTCCATTTTTCCCCCATTTATAATATCTTAATCCTAGCCACAGGTTTGCAATAAATCACGGAGGGTTGACAGAACAAATACAGCGTACCATAGTGAGAACCCCGTTTCTTTCCCTGATATTGACTCTGTGAAAGTGTTAAATGATTGGGGCCGATAAATCATTCAGATCATCAACTTGATGAGTATCATTAGTTTCCATTTACCTCCTCAATGTTGACCCATCTGACATGCAGAGAAAGATTTATTGGCACAAACAGTTAAAAAAAAAAAAGCCCCATGGAAAAATGTTTGAGAGCTAGCTAATCACAGGTAGAAATGCCAGAATTCCTCAAACACTGGCTTAGGATAGAAGTATATATATAAATGGTGATCCACGTCTTTACACCATATTTTGAGAAATTCAAATCACGCTGTATCAATTTTGAAAGGAAATGGCAAAACTAGCAACTTTAATCTCTGCCACTCCTCATGTGTTTATGGTGATAACTGTTTTGATGGTTTTTGCCTCTGTTTAAGCTCAAAATACATTTTTGTCCCAGCCTTGCATCTCCACATTGTGAAGAAGATCATGCTGAATGAGATGGCTGGATGGTAATATTTCCCATTGAACAGGGGGAGTCTTACAGGTGCCTTAACACAATGACATTGGTACTAATGAGGGAGGCCCCTATTGTGCTTAATATCTGATTCAGGCCTTAAGCTTGTACTTTGCATTATACCACAGAGTACCATTATTAAAATTAAAATGCTTTTGGGCCGGCCGAGTGGCGCGATGGTTAAGAACTGGCTTGGGACGCCAGAGGGCCCCGGTTCGGATCCCACATATGAGGGCCAGTGACACTGCCCTCCACAGCTAAGATGCTGAACAACAGCTCAACCTGGAGCTGGGCTGCCATGAGTCGCCGGCGACAGCAGGTGGGTTGCCATGGGCTACCGTGTGTAGCCAGCAGCCAGCCTGAGCGGCCAGCAGCCACTGTGAGTGGCCGTCCAGAAGCCAGCGACTGCTCTGCCTCGCCCAGGAAGAGCGCAATGATGGTGCCAACTTGGGCCAGTGAAGCAACGTCCTCCACAACTAGACTGAAGAACAAAAGAACAGCAACTTGTCTGTTTCCCTTCCCCCAATTCCCCAGCGCTGTTCCCATTCCCCCAATTCCCCAATAAAAATCTTAAAAAAAAAAATTAAAATGCTTTTTTTAGGTGATTCTGCCCATCACTGACCTCTTTCTTACCTTGAATTTGTTTATTAAAGGTTCTGAACCCAATTCTAACATATGTGTGGGTGGAAGAGGGAGTGTCCCACACCACCAAGCAATTCTCGGACACCACCCAAGTGTCACACAAGCCAGCTCAATTCTGACTCTATCTACCTGGAAATAGCATCAGATGCCACAGGTTAAGGGCTCAGTCCTACAATATTGTACGCCTCCCCACTACAGACATTAGGCGTAAGTCCAGAGTGTCATCTGTACTTCTGACTGATAGGCTACAGATTGGAGGCTCCAACAACCCCCACCTTGGGTTTGATCAACTTGCTAGAGTGGCTCACAAAAGTCAGAGAAACATTTTACTTACTAGATTATGAGTTGATTATAAAAGGATATAACTCGGGAACAGCCAGATGGAAGCAACGCACAGGGCAAGGTATGGGGAAGGGCACAGAACTTCCACGCTCTCTTGAGTGCAACACTCTCCCCCAATCTCCACGTAGTCACCAGCCCAGAAGCTCTCCCAGCCCTGTCCTTTTGGGTCTTTATAGAGGCTTCATTGCATGTTGATTAATGATTAAGTCACTGCCCATTGGCAACTGATTTAACCTCTACTTCATCTCTCCTTCCTGAGGTCTGGGGTGGGACTGTAAATTCCAATCCTCTAATCCCTGGGAACCAGTGTATCCTAAGGTTACCTAGGGGCTTTCCAAGTCACCTCATTAACATACCAGAAGACACCTTTAATGCTCTTATCATAGAAAATTCCAAGCGTTATAGGAGCTCTGTGCCAGGAATGGGGTGGAAGACCAAATATACATTTCTTATTAAAAATCACAATGTCACATTTACCTTATTAGATACACAGGAATTTTAGCAGAATGCTAGTAGGACAAAGCAGGAAATTATGGATTGTAGGAGACAACTTATGAAAAGCAGCTGCTATAAAAGGGAACCTCTGTGAAGGGAGTAATTTTTTTTCTCTGATATGAACATACGATGATTGACACACCATTTACTCCCAAATATGTGTTGAATTTGTGAGGAAGAAAGGATGGGGAGACCACCCCAGCAGAGCTCTGAGGAATAAGAAGCCAACTTGAAAGTGCTGGAGCATGGAAACAGAGGGTTGCTCAAAGATGTACAGGATGGGAGCTGAAGGAATGTTTTTAAAAAACAAAACTAAACTAAACTAAAACACCCAGCTCATTTTTCCAAGACATAATACACCGTATTTCCCCATGTATAAGATGCTCCCATGTATAAGATGCACCTTAATTTTGAGGCCCAAAATTTGGAAAAAAATGTATTACATGAAGTTATTGAACTCAAGTTTTATTCATCATAAAATTCATACAACTCCTCATCACTGTCAAAACTCCCAACCATGAGCTTGTCCTCATCTGTGTCTGATGACGAATCACTGTGTTCATAGATTGCCTCGTCCTCAGCGGGAAATGCAAGTAAAAAAATCTACAGCCACTGTATAACACACACCCAGTTTTTAGACCACTAAAAGGGTGCATCTTGTACATGGGGAAATACGATACCTAGATCAGTCTGTAGCTCTATTAACAACCCCCCAGGAGGAATTACCATATTTTGAGGTAGTCTGGTTCCAAGATGGCCCCCAATAACCTCACCTCCTTGAATTCCTGCACACATGTAGCTGTCTCCTACCTTGAATAGGTCCAATTAATGTAAATAATAATATATTCCAGAAATCCTCGTATGTGATTTCTGAAGCAAGGCCATAGAAGACATTTTGGCTTCTGCCTTCCTCTCTCTTGGATCACTCACTCCATGAGATCTCTCAAGTCGCCCTATGCAGCACCAACTTGCCATGGAAGTGAGGAAGCCACCTAGAAAATGGATTGTCTGACCCCATTCAAGCCTTCAGACGAATGCCGCCCCAGCTTGACGCCTCATGAGAGACTGAGTCAGAACAGCCCAGCTAAGCTGCTCCTGAATTTCTGATCTACAGAAACTGTGTGAGATAAAAAATGTTTCATTGTTGTAAGCGGCTACATTTTGGAGTGATTTGTTATGCAGCAATAGAAAACCAACAGAGCACACATTAAGCTTACCCACTCTGTGACTACCTCCAGTGCAGTAAACTATTGAGAATGTACTGAGAAGGCACACCCAGTGACAGCTATACTCTACCAAAACAATGCCCCAAAGCGTCTAGTGTCAGCAGCATATTTTCATCACTCTTAAGGTTGCCTCTCCTTTGGGACTATGTGACTGAGATTGTTCTCATGAACAGATCTATTACTTAAGAATGCTTTCCTTTCTTAAATGTGAAGTCAGTGGTTAAGGGCAGAGAATTAAAGTCCCGAAACTCAATACTTGCAGAGAGAGCTGTCAAATCTCACCAAGGTGGAGGAGAGAATTCGTGCATGTTTAATTTCAAGCCTCCTCCCTGGAGAAAGTAGATGCTACTTGATGTGTCATAAGGGCACTCAAGGCTATTAGCTCTCCCCTGTCTGTTCACCAAAAAGGAAAAACAATCTATCACAAGCCTGCTAATTTTCTATTAGGTTTTAATGATTTAGAAAGTTATTTTGTTTACTTATAGGTTTCCATTAGGAAAGAAAAAAAAAGTTAAATTACAAGCATATGGTGGCTTCCCTCAAAAATACTGAGACAAATGGAATGCTACACTGAGTAGCTAACGTATTGATTTTATACCATAATGGACTCTTATGAGATAATAAAATACTTTTTACGAAGGCTATGTTTCAAAGCTAATTATTACATAACCAAAATTGCATTTTCTTTGGGGCTTGTATAGATTTACGTTACTGTACAAAAAAGGGGGGTGGGGGCAGCAAAAAAACCCCAAAACTCAGAAACATTAAACTTCAAGTATGGTAGAGATCTTAAAGGTCAGCTTGTCTAATCACAAGTCTAATTCTTTAATTCTCAATGCACTTTATTTTCCAGAAGGAAATAAGACTTGTTAACCAAGAAATATACCTACACCAGATAAGTCTTATTATATCAGATAAATATTCATCATTATAAGCTAAATACTAAATTTTCTTTGAATAGTGTATACTGAACTAAAGGAAAAAAACGTTTTTTTATAAATAGATAGTAAAGTTATAAGATAATGGAAAATACCACAATTTTTTAATAGTTGTGAATTTTAAGTAAAAAACAATATATTCAAGTAATACATGTGGCTTTTTTTAACATAATGGAGAAACATTAAGTATGTTTTAGTCAATATGTTAAATATACATAATAAATATACATGACTCCATCCATTTTCATTAAGGAATCTATGGGTAACTATACTATATTTTGATGTCAAAGTTGAAGTCTGGGAACTAACCAATATCTACCTCAAAGAAGGACAAATAGCAAATGCTTGAATCAGGATCTTGTCAATCCATTAATATTTGAGGAATAATTTATTTTACATATGTTGCTAAATGGTGACTAAAAAGAATACTACTTGAAAGTAAATTAAACTGCCTAATTTTCATAACTGTGCTACAAAGCATACTCAAGGATCATTCCACACTTTGGTGTGGCTATATTAACAAATTATGCCATCTTTCATAATGTATATAAATAGAAGTCTTACTCATACATTATTTTTTCTTTTTTTTAAACATTTTATTGTGGGGAATTTCAAATGTGTATAAAAGTAGAGAAAATAATACAACGAACCCCCATGTACCCAATATTCCTCTCAACATTTATCAATTTATAACTGATCTTGTTTCATCTCTTTTGATATGATTCTGAA